TCTTCGTACAAATTTAATAAATGATTTGAACTGTTTTGTTTCTTCTGTATGGAGTTGGCAACTGTCAACTGACTCGATGGATGTAACACAATGGAGATTTTAATTGTTATATTCTGCAGTCGTTCATGTTCCTTAAGGCAATTTATTTAATGTGCAGAATGTTCTGCTAATGTGTAATCGTCTGATTTTTTTTTCTCTTTGATGCCAGAATCACGAGGTAACAGACGCAGATGCTGAAATACTTGCTACACTCACGGAAGTGTTTATGGAGAAAGCTACCGACTGGTTTGAAGTTGTTCATGCCATCAATTGCATAGATGTACTTAGATCTTTTGCCGTCACTTCAAGCATGTCATGTGGAACCATGTGCCGGCCTGTCATATTGTCTTCATCAAAAAGCACAAGTCAAGATTATGTGGGACCTGTGCTTGAAATGAAGGGACTATGGCATCCATTTGCCCTTGGAGAGCATGGAAGTTTGCCTGTCCCCAATGACATAAATCTTGGTGAGAATACGGGTGCCCACCATCCTCATACATTGCTGCTGACTGGACCAAACATGGGTGGAAAATCAACACTTTTGCGTGCCACCTGTCTAGCTGTTATTATGGCCCAGGTTCTGGTTCATTTTATTCTTTTAATTCTAACAAGCATGATGGGTGACTACTTCAATCTGTAGAACATGCTACCCTCGTTAGTGTTGGATACAAAGTACTGAAATTTAAGATACTTTTCCCCTGATGAAAGTTAAAAATGTTCCAGAAAATTATAAACAGTAGGTCATAACCTTTTCAAGAGATTTTGGGTTGTTGATTTGGTATGATCAAGCCTCAAGGGAACATGTTACATTTCATTCATTTACCATCTCGCACTGCGTGACATATTATGATGTCCAGTTTGTTTCTTTTTTATGATAGATGTGTCTCTGATGTCTTTGCAGCTAGGCTGTTACGTGCCTTGTGAAAACTGCGATCTCTCAGTTGTGGATATTATCTTCACAAGGCTTGGAGCCACTGATAGAATCATGGCCGGCGAGAGTATGTATTCTTCAGCATAAAAGGGTGCTTTATCAATAAAGTGATTATTTCTATCATGCAATTGCTAGTTACTTCACTGCAGCGAAAATTTTCCCAACTAGCTGTGAGCTGATATTTCTAACACAACATTGTCCACTGGCTTTTGGAATGGAACACCTAACAATAATTAACTGGTAGCCTGAACGTGTCATTTCTGGGGGAATATCCTTATGAATTTTCATATGTGGATTGCTTGCTAGTTTGGATAGGACTTGCTAGCGCCAAATATGATGTTCAAAACTTGTGAATATAACTTACGTGGCTAATTAAGAAGCTCTGCTTTCTCGAGCATACTCTAAAATATAAGTAGACTATTGTATCAAATTGCACGGTATCTTTCATCCGTTTTGATATACGTAGATCTCCTCATAAGAAAACAAGTTGCATTAGACTAGTTCAATTTAAATTTTGATTCATTAACCCAAATGCAAATTAAAGAAAAAACTAAAATGCGTTCTTACATGTTATGAGGGGATTTGGTTTAAAAATCTATGATGAGATTAAGTTTTATGTCTTCAAAATAAAGGAGATGCCTATATAATTTTAACAGGGTTATGATATATGTATTTAACTCATTAAAAATGATTGTTTAGAACCCAATGTATATTAGAGGGTGAAACTTACTTTTTCATGGTCAAATTATGACATGCCCATGGACATCAAAGGACAGACAATATGATTGCATGGCCATTGGCATGCATGTAAATGAGGTATGCAGAGGATATTCTCTTCCTAAACACATCAAATTTCTGCAAGCTGGATTTCTAAATGAATCAAACCATTTAGGACTTGGGAATTATTGAAATCTGATATTTAGATGCTTCCATGTGCGCAGCTACTGTTTGTCTCTATGCTCGAAGGATTGCCAATAACAAAGTTCACTTTTTTGGCAGGCACCTTCTTCATTGAGTGCACAGAAACTGCACAAGTTCTTCAGAATGCTACTCAAGATTCTCTGGTCATTCTCGACGAACTGGGGCGAGGAACTAGTACTTTCGATGGCTATGCAATAGCATATTCAGTAAGTTGCTTCTTTTAACTGCCTGCATCTTCTTTTGCTGGAATCTCCGATTCAATTCCTTAAATGTTCCTATTCTATGTTTACCTGTTAAGCTTAAGGCTCGGTTAAAGATTTTATTGTTCTTGTCAATGCTTCAACGCATGACTAAATAGTGAATCATTTTCATTCTTCTCCAGGTATTCCGCCATCTGGTGGAAAAAGTCAACTGTCGCTTACTATTTGCCACGCACTACCATCCACTCACAAAAGAGTTTGCCTCTCATCCACACGTTATGCTGCAGCACATGGCCTGTGCTTTTGAGTCAGAATCTGATGGCCATTCCAAGCGTCGAAAGGAGCCAGTCTTCCTGTATCGGCTTGCCTCTGGAGCGTGTCCAGAGAGCTATGGATTGCAGGTGGCTCTCATGGCTGGGATCCCAGAAAAGACAGTGAATGTTGCTTCAAAGGCTAGCCAACAGATGAAGAAATCAATTGGAAGAAGTTTTCAGTCAAGCGAACAGAGATCAGAGTTCTCAACTCTTCATGAAGAGTGGGTGAAGACCTTGGTGTCTATATCCAGAATAAAAGATTCCGAGACTTTCGATGAAGATGCCTTCGATTCTTTGTTTTGTACGTGGTGTGAGCTAAAGACTTCGCTTAGATCAGGAAACTAGGAAGTAGGAACAAGGAGCAGATTATTTAGAGTAGAAAGTCCATAGGGTTGAGTGTTATATTATAGTGTCTTAGGTGGTCAACACATTTATTTTTAAGAAGAGGCTTGGCTTCTTTCAAGCATCAGGCTGTTTGGAAGAGATGGCTTGAAATATCTCCTGGGTGGAAATCATCGATAAGATATCTTTATATCCTTGTAAGTTGTAGCACGCAATGATACGAGTTACTTACATTTTTCCCACTCATGTCTCCTAAACAGTTTTACAACGATGTAATCTACTGTATGAAAACTTCTAATCTCGTATCATTCTTGCTTATAATCTTATGTCGATGGTGTCTGTTTCTAAATTAAAAAACAAAATGGTCAGTATATAATGACAGAATTTTGTGATGCACTAGAAATTACTGTTGGTGCTAGCAATTGGCTTCGGCATTAACAGCGTGGAATCACAGTTTTGTGCAGCCTCATGCGCCCATTTTGATTTCTCAACATGAAAATGATTAATACATGAAAAAGCTTATTACCATATATACAATAATAAAAATCATCTTTGTATAATTTAAATAACCATAACTTCTAATTATTTTATATTTATCCTGCGGCCGACGCAGTTGAGGACCCCCAGTTATAACCACAATTTTTGGAAGCGTTGGTAAGGAAAAAAATGGGCAGCTTGGTTTTTTTTTTTTTTCTGTTTTTGTTTTTATTTTTATTTTTTATGGTATTAAAATAGATGTTTTGAGATGGATCTGTGATATATGATACTCGATGCCAGTTTATAAATTTTACATTTTTCCTATTTATTGTCTTTAGAAGTTTATAAATGTTTCAAAAAATAAATAAATATCTTCCAACTCTAAGAATTGGAAATGAAATTGAATATGCTAGCACTATTCCCTTGTCTTCCCCCATACCGTTTTAGTCCCTCCAAGAACCGTACTAGATCGAAAGACTTGCTGCAAATGTAATAGGCGATTCATCAACGGGGCTGATCCATGGCAGAATGATCGCGGACGATGTGAACAAAAGAAAGGTACATTTTAAGAAAATTACAATTAAATCCCACCTAAAAGAATTAAATACAAAAAAATCTTTTAAAATCATAAAATTATTCTGAAGTCCCAAGAAAATTTTTTACAATAAATTTTATTTGTTTAATTACCAAATTACCCTTATTATTTTTTTAAGTTTGCATTGACAACTAAAAGAACAGTCATTGATAACTTAAAATGCAAGAATTGACAACTGTCACGGCAAATATTGACAACACATTTTCTTAGCATATCATAAAATATAATGCATAAGTTGTCAATACTTGTATCTCAAGTTGTCAACCATTATTCTTTCAGTTGTCAATACAAAGTTAAAAAAAAAAAAATTAAACAAATAAAATTTTTTACAATAGGATTCATTTGAACTTAAGAATAATTTCATGATTTCCAAGGATTTTTTTATTTAATTTCCTTGGATGAGACCTAATTGTAATTTTCCCTACATTTTAAATCCAAGAAAATATTCACTGTTTCGCATTGAACAAACGCAAGATCCAAAATCCAAAAGGAATAAGCATAGTTCAGAGAGAGATTTGTCCCTCCAGTAGACCAAATGAGAAGCAATTCTAAGTGGAGTCTAACATTTCTTTTTTCTTTTTTTTGGGTTTGCGGGGAATTTACATCAAAATTCAGGGGCGTTGCATGTAACTTTTGGCAAATGATGAGCATTAAGCTACCAATTTCTTGACAACAGGATAAACCAAGCATCTGGCTGGAATGGGTAACGATGATCACAACACGACCAAAAATCAGAGCTACCCCTTCCTTGTAACAGTACAAAACTATTAAACAGTTAAACAATGTCCTAATCGTAGGAATAAATACAGATGGTTAAACCTCGTAGATCACACCCACACTTTCACTTGAAGACGGTCTTTTCCTTCAATGATGTTTGCACTAAACCATATACCACCTTTGCCCTGATTCCAACTCCTAAGACAAAGTAAGACGAAAGAAATGCCAGAAAACCAGCACCATTTGCACTTCGAAATCATACATGTAAGTAGCTATGAGAAAAGGCCCATCATTGAATCCAAACAAGGATCTCTTATAATGTTGACAAACAGGAAATAAAAAAGGCAGCAGATTGAGATAAGGCAAAGATGTCTATCTTTAAGATATTATTAGCCAACCACCTCTTGTGTGATACTTAGAACTGGCAAACTAGTTTAAAGTGATACGCTTCCCTAAGAATGAACTTACTCACAAAACTTTTCTCATTTTAAGATCAAATTATCATCTTACAAGGAAGTTTAGAGCATAGCAAGCAAGGCAAAGAAAGATACACGCTCTGCATGCCTTCTATTTTAGTAGAATATTTTACATATCCCAAACAATGTAAGAAGAATGCGCTATCCACCTTACAAAGTTAGGAACTTTCCCTTCTGAGTAGTCTTAAAATGTGTTTTTTTGGTCGACCAGACCAGTCTGGTTCTGGGGCTTGTATGCCACTCGATATCGTGAATATAGAACACCATTTCAACATTCTAACCACTCATCCAAGTAAAATTCCTGGTAGCGAGTACACAGTCTCCCCAACAAGAACAAGAAGAAGCGTTATCCCACTAGGATTATACAAAGCCACTGTACTTTGTCCACAACGAACCAAATCTTCATGACATAACGAGTATTGTATTTAAGCGAATGCCTTGTGCGCCATAATTGAAATAATACTGAAAGATTAAACATGTAATCAATACAAGCGTGCCAAAATGTAACATAATCAATGTCTCGGTTTTAAGTACTAAGAAGGAACAAATAGATTCAATAATCTTTTTTCATTCAGCATTTTTCGCGGAAAGATGATGTAGACGTAGCCCTTCCAAGTAACATAATTACACTGGTCAGCATAATGAATCAAAAGCAACAAGGCAAATGATGCAAAAGTATCCACGTTCAACAAGCAATTGAAAATATAAGCAGGATAACAGCAACCCACCTACATCATTCACTGCCATTCTCTGTAGATGTCTCGGAATCCTCCTCACCTCCTTCTTGCAAGCTTGCAATTTCGGCCTGAGCTCTTTCCAGAATCTGCTTCTTCTGCAGTTCTAACTCCCTATTAAAATCCAATCTCATCTTCTCCAACTCCATCATCTGCCGCCTCTTACGATTCTCAATCTTCTCATATATTTTCCCAAACTTCTGAATAGAATCAGCTAATTCCCTAAAGGAAGACTCTTCTCCATTATCATTGTCTCCAATCCTAGTCCTCCTGGGTGGAAGCCCATCCGAATCATCTTCAGACGTCTCTGACTCCCCAGGGCTATCTCTCATCTCATCCAGCCCATTCGATCTATCTAAATAAACCCTTGTATTCATGAAAACATACTCCCCAGAGTCCATTCCACAGGACAGTCCATATTCTTGCCTCGCTGATGAAGCCATTAACATATCCATCTTCTTAAAATAAGCCCATTTACTAGAACTCAACCCCATTTCATCCATTTTCGCTTTCTCTTTCTTGTACCTTCTTTTCAGTTTATCCAACATGCTCCTACACTGTGCCACGGTCCTCTCCATCTTCAGCTCCTCCGAAAACTTCTCGGCCACATCATGCCAATCCTCGGACCTTAAGCTCTTTCTCCCAAGTTGAAGAAATTTGTCCCCCCAAACCTCTAGCAAAACAAACGTCGCATGCTCCGTCCATTCATCTGTTGGGCTTCGATTCCCATGCGAAAGCTTCCCATGAGGTACCAACTCATAGTTCGAAACAGACGGATTCCGCAATTTCCTTTTCTTCGGGTTTTTCTCACACTCGTCTTCGCTATCAATATTCATACCATAACCATTTTCCCCTTCACCATCGCCGTCCTCCAGGTCATTCCCTACATCATATTCATCCATTTCTTCATCATCACCGTCCTCGTCGTATCGACTAATCACTTGACGACGATATGGGGCGGCGCGAACCAAGTGCTCTTGGCGATGGGAATAGTTAGGACGGCTTGAAGCGTAGGGCTTTCGAGGGTACGTTGCATCATCTTCCACGATATTGTCCATGTATGCTAATAAAGGAACAGATAAGCAATTTTTCAGAATCGCAATTGAATATTTTCTGAAAATTGAGGGGAAACAAGGAATTTAAGAAGCTAAAGAGAAACTAACTCGCTAAGCAAAATTCACCATTCGAAGAAGAAAAGAATGTTGGAAAAGACGAAGGATGAATAGAACGCGAAATCGTTAGGGTTTTGGGTGGGATACCGAACTAGACGAGGCGTGCGAAGGAGAGATAACCACGACTTGTGGCACAGGATGAATCCAATGATCCCTGATTATGGGTCGAAACGGTGTGGAGTGATCCCAAATGGGCCCATTAAGATCTGGCCTTGAAACTAGTCAAACGTGGGCCTAAATTGACTCAAATATCAATGAACTAGATCTCAGGCCCTTGCTCTTTCTGATGTTTGTGGAAAATTTATTACCCATAGTCCTTAAAATTTGAAAAAAGTCCGAGGTCTTTGAGAGTAGAGATGGAAATAGGCCAGGCGGCCTATCAGGAGTCTGTGACCTGGCATATTTAGATATCAGAACAGGCTCAAGTCTGTAAAAAGGCCTGTTTACTTTATCAAGCCAGGCTCATGTTTGATAGTAAGCTTGTTGGCCTGTCAGGCGGCCTGGGCCTGTTATCCTTTTTTTTTTAGGTTAAAATTGTAAATGAACAAGAGAAAATCTGCTATTTTGATTGGTTAATTGAAAAAACTCCACCCACATAAACGTGTTATTCAAAACTCATTGCACGCTTCATTTCATTTCCATTCTCTATAATAAAAATAATTGATGTATATATAATGACACATTTAAACAGAGAAAGAAAACATAAGTACATTAAAAAAAAGCATCATTAATTTATTTTATCCATGCTTTTCATGTTAATCTTACATAGAATATATATATCTGTATATATAATTGATCTATTATGTTTTAAACTGTATATATGTGTGCTCAATCTAATTCTTATTATAATAGTTGCTCAATTAATTTAAATTATAATAAATGTAACATTTTTTTTTAAACAACCATGTGTAACAACAGGATCAAATATCATTTTGTTAGTAAATTAGTTTGAACAAATGATAAATTTAGAATATAAAAGGGATTAAGGATGTTTCATATTTTAAACTAGATCTAGTCATCAACTAATTTTTATACTAGAGATGGAATGAAGTGTTATTTGTATACCAGGGTGAAATTATGTTTTCTAATAACGTTTCATATTCGATTTTTTTTTTTGTCTAAAGGAACATGTTTTACAAATTGTGTTAATTTGATAATTTCATATTTTCTGTTTGTATTTTAAATAAGTTGGATTGAATTATTATAATTTTGAATTGATTTATATATGTTTGAAATTTGTTAAAAAAAACAGACATCTTAACAGGCCACAGGCCAGGCTCAGACCGAACAAAAAACTTTTCACAGGCCACAGGAACAGGCCTCACCCCAAGCGGGGCCTGTTAAGGGTAAGGCTTGACTTGGCCTGACATGTTTCCACCCCTACTTGAGAGTAAAGAAGGGTGAGGGAAGAAAGACAAGATTGCCCTTAATGAGTAATAAATGAGAAAGATGAAAAGAACAAAAAGAGTGACAATGTTCTCTTCTTCTTCCCTGAACTCATCGATCATCATGGAATTTGTCGGAGCTCTAGTTCGTCTGTGAAAGCTAAAAAGGTGAAGTTTGAGGGACTAAGTTATACACATATGACCCATGGGCATTATTGTAACTTGACATAACATAATGTATACTACTTGCGATCCTAAATATAGGATTTAGTACATTACAAACTAAATCTTATATTTAGTGTTAGAGGTATGGCAGTTGTTTTTATTGTTCTCGGGTCATATGTCATTCTCCATCTTTCTCCACAAGCTAGGCTCGTGCGGACTTATCTGGCATTGGCTTTGTTTTTTTGTATTGCATTTTATTTTCTTGAGACTTCTTATAATTATATATTTTTCTTGAGATCTTATAATGATTTTCCCGACAAATAATGCCTAGATGGTGGTCAGCCTTCAACTGATATGGCAGTATCATCCATATTCTTCAAAATATATTCTTTCTCATTCTCCTGCATATAGTTTTTAAATGGGCGAAAATATTGAGCTTTTATCTTGTTTGAGCCATATGCCAAACACAATGACTCAAATATTCTCAAATTGTGTAGCGATTACGCCATCAATAATATATGCCTTCTTCCTCCATTCCTTCGTCAATACTTGTCTACTTTTTAATGATTCCTTTGAACTTAAAAATCAGACCTTCAAATAACACAATTATCTCCCCTTAGAAGCCTCAAGAGGTCAGGATCTTCAAACAAAACCATCTCAAATTTAAGCACAAAAAAAAAACTATCCCCTTTTTATTTTTATCTTTCTTAAATGTTTTTAAATATCAAAAAAGCAGTTAAAAAGTAATTATACTTTAATTTTACATTACTCTGTTTTTTTTTAATTTATTGCATCTAATCTTTATAAAACAATCAGCAACTAGATACAACATCATGTCAGGGAAAAAGATAGATACAATAATGCCCTTGGCATATTTACAAAAACAATATGCTATTAACATTAGGTGTTGGTCTTAGTGAACAAGTTTTGGCCTTTTTTTTCCCGTTAAAATATAGGTATCATTCTATTAAAAGCAATTATATTCAAAATATTATTGAGCACTAAATGTGAGCATCTCTCCCAATAAGAATTCAAACTTTTTTTTTTTGCTAAAGTATAGGTATCTTTCTATTGGAAGCAATCCTATTCGAGGCACTGTCAGTCATTAAATGTGGGCATTTGAATCTTGATTCACCACGTTGTGAAGGAATAACTTCTTTTACCAGACCTAATCCCCTTGATATAAGAATTTAAACCTTGATTTGTTATCTTGTGAAGTTTTGCTCATTTAAACATAAAGTTTCGAGTTAGAGTCCATGTAAAAGCCCAAAACATTTTTGAAAAAGCTAGTCCTAATTAAATTCGATCCCGGCATATGCCATCCGGGCACATGCAGCATTACAGCCAACTGCCTTCTACAGTTCTACTTGCTGCCTGCTGGAACCTAACGGGGACCCTTTGTTTTTTTTTTGGGACCATTCCCATGTATTTGATCTGCATGTGGCCCATTTATAGGTCTCAAACCTTAACAATTATTTCAACATTTACAATTACGCAAAAAAAAAAAAGAAGGAACTTTTGAAGGTTATATAGAGTAAATATTAGACAACTATCCATTCAGAAGTATCGAGGCATTATGCCATTAAATATAAAATGAAATTATAAAAATAGTATTTTAAAGAGATTATGAATATTCTTGAAATAGTTTTTTTAAATAATATTGTTGTTGTCAGTTAATGCTATGATAAATTCACAGCAGAAGAGAAATTTTCAGACCCTTTCTTCTTGGGTCAACAAAGACTTTTCAAACCCTGACAGTGGCCAAAAAGCTCATCTATGTGCCATCATAATGACGCCTTTAAACTTGGGGCCCTGGCGTAGGCCCCATTTTTGGGCCACCAAAAAAGTACATAAAAAAACAAAGAAGAGCAAGGGGGAAAAAAAATACTACATGTAAATTTTTTTTTTACCTGAAATGTAAAAATGAATTGAAAATTTATGAAGAAAGAAGAACAAAATAATGAAACTTTCAAAAATTAAGGGCGAGCCAATTCCAAACTCTTGGGATTACACAGGTTCTCTACAGAAGAAAAGAAAAAAAAACAAAAATTTAACATAGATCTTCACTTCATCATGTCTGTGTAGTCTAAAAGTTTAACGTTAATCACCTTTTGGAAGAGTCGATTATTCTTCTAATGAACATTGATTTAACTAATACTTTTCTTCTAATTTTAAATATAAGACATATTTTGTAATATAATTTACACTACAAAATAGATCCATATTTATTATTTATTCATCAGTTTACAGTTTTCAAAAAGAGAAACAAATTTTTATAAATAAGTAATTTAATCCATCGGAGTAAGTGTAGGATGGCAAAAGGGACGCACTTCCATGGAAGAACCATCCCTTGGAGGGATCAACCGATCAAAGGATCAGTGGCAATTCCCAAGATCAGTGAAAACCAGAACATAGGAGATGATGACGTGGCATGACCGTCACCAGTCACGGGCCCCACAACAAGGTCGGACATTTAACAATAGCAGGAGGGCGTCTGGCCGCGGGGGCCCGCCATTGCTCCATTTTTGTTTGCTTGCGCTGTTCACAAATTCTGTTCAGAAGTATATGGCTGGCCTGTTGCCTTCCTTTTCGTCAAACCTAACTATCCATTTCCATTGTTAATGCTTGAGCAGCAACATCATACTTCTCTGATTTTTAATATAGAATTTATTTAACTATTTTGATTAAAATAAAAAATTTAGTTAAATTAGGTAATAATCATAAATATGGTGTATGTTTCCCAAAATATTTAGTTAAAACTTCTTTAAAAAACTAACATTTCAATTAAAAATATAAAAGGGTAAAATTGATATATGTGTAGAATTAATGAGTAATAAGTACGCACTCACTTTATAAAATATATAGGTGTATTATTAATGAGTAACAAGTATTATTGTGGTATTTAATTATTTAATAGGGATAATTTAAGAAAGAATTGATAAATATGAGAAATGAATCCTATATTAGGATCAAGATCAACTTTCTAATTAGGTCATATATTAAGGACTGGAGGAATACTACTTTTAAGATGAAGTGTTTGGAAAAACTCATTAAATTTGCATTACACTCGTGTACTCAAGGCTTGTTTGAATTTATAATCAATAAGTATGTTTAAATATATAAAAATTTCTCTCACATACTTACTTTGTATTTCGTAAATTATCGTTAAAAAATTATTTATAAATCATTCTAAACAAACAAAACCTTCGGATAACAAATTTGTAAATATTAAAAAAAAGTTAAAAGTTTCTATGGGAAGCTATTCTAAAGTTGCAGCGAGGGTGATGGTCCCTCGTTAAATGGCAGCCAGAAAGGTGCGTGTGTACGACGTAGAAACATAAATATATAAATCCACCCACACTAATGGCGTGACGATATTACATATGAAAGAATTATATGCAGAGGAATGGGACCGTGTAATAACACTGCAATGACCCATTTCTCCTAACCCTTCCATCTGTACTTATTATATTTCTTGTGCTGCGGTCCTATTCAAGTTCATGCATGCATGGAAGAAAATGGAAGACTCTTGTACTGACTTAATTTGTGGGTACGAGGTAGTCGGAAAGCTCCATAGTTTTATATTAACGCTGTGAGATGATGGAGAGCAAGTTCATTTGTGTGATTTTTCTGGGGCTTTGCTTAGCCCTAGGAAATGTAGATGGACGAAGTTATTATAGGAGGGGAAAAGATTTGGACGATGTGAGACGGCCTGATTCGTTTTTCTCGGGATGGTGGTTTGGTGGCGGCAGCTATGGAGGTGGCGGTCGCGATGGTGGAGATTATGGTGGCGGGGGTGATGAAGGGAGAGGATACGAAGGCAGAAATGGAGGAGGAATGTCAAGAGGAGGATATAGAGGTGGCAGTCGTGATGGTGATGGTGACGGTTACAATGGTGGTCGCGGAGACAGAGATTATGATGGTGACGGTGATGGTGGAAGAATGGAAGGCAGAGGGAACGGATATAGAGGTGGTAATGATGGCTATGGCCCAGGGACAAGGTACGGAGGAGGAGGTGGCGGTGGGGGAGGTGGTGGGGGCGGCGGTGGAGGTTGGAACAGCATGGGTGGCGGGGGCGGCGGTGGGGGAGGTGGCGGGGCGGTGGCTGTTGGAACGGCATGGGTGGTGGGGGTGGGGGTGGTGGAGGAGGTGGCAGCGGGGGTGGTGGGGGCGGAGGAGGTGGTTACTGAAGCAGGGTATCTAGAAACGGAGGAGGCTATTGAGGTGGCATGGGTGGAAGTGTGAGTCTGCCATGAAAAATGGTAAAGCAAATAAGCCTTGAAATAGTTGTCGTGGAGTTCGCACCTTATCGTGTTATTAGGTTATTATTAAATGCTAAAGTAGCAAACATTAAGGGAAAATCGCAAAAGAAACCTTAAAAATTAAAAAATTTTATATAGGAACCCATTAACAAAAATTATTGTCCTTTATTTATCAATTATTGTTAAAATCTATACTAATATTGTAATGGTACCTATTTATGATTTTTCTATCTTCAAGGTCTTTTTTTCTGATTTTTCCAATATAATAAAAAATGATATAAAAAGAAGTTAAAAATTGCAATATTTTAGTTTAGGCACTTAAGACTTCAAAAACCCAAAGGAGAAACTGATGTCTGATTTGGTATTTTGCAAATGTAATCAAATGACTAAAATATCCTTATATCAATTTTCTTTAAAAAAAAAAGTCATCAAACTTATCATTACCAATATATTTTTTGTCATCAACTATTCAACACTTGTCATTGTCAAATTGTTAATAAAGAACTTGTCATTGTCAGTACATTTCTTGTTGTTCGCTATCTAACACTTATCATTGTCAGTTTACAACTTATTAATAAACATTTTAATACAAAGGCATTTTTGTCATTTAACTTTGCAAAATACCATATCAAGTATTACTTCCTTTCATGGGATTTTGAAGTTTTAAATGCCTAAATTAGAATATTGTAATTTTTAACTTCTTTTTATGTCATTTTCCCTTAATATAACATCTTTTCATTAATGTTCTGTTACTACAAAATAAAACTGTGCCAAAAATTATCACCTTTTGCTTACGCTATTAGTTGGCCTGTATATTTCATTTTATGTGTCTTATTTGTCAATAGTTGGTGTGGCAGTGCTGCCCATAAAGTAATATAATATTCACAGAATCTTGTAATTCCATCATCAGTAAAATATTCCCTCGGATGCTTAATATAATATCCAATTAATTAATTTGGAGATATTTAAAAAATCACCAAATTAATTAATTATAGCATGTGATATGTAATCTTTCCAAAATACTCATATAGATCATTGGATTATATATCAATTTATAAATAAGACAAATTAGTTTGGAAAAAAAATAAATATAAATAGTTTAAAGTAATTTAGTTACTTGCTTACTCTATTCAAATTAATCAATTGAATCTTATATTAAAGAGCCAAGGCAGTATAAAACTTACATATAGTATTCTTGTATACCTCATCTTGATTCATTTATTGTGAGTTTAGCATGTTAGAATGAATAATAAAAGAATAAAAAAATGGAAAAATCACCAAAAAAAAGTCCTGGAAATTAAAAAACTACATATAAGAACTCATTCACAAAATTATTATTTAATTATATATTGTTATCAAAACTAATATTAATATTGTAACAGGTTCCTATGTGTAATTTTTTTTATTTAATTCACGGTTTTTTTTTGGCTATTCTCCGTAAAAAATGTTTCAAATAAGAATGATATTATATAACTCAATACTCCTCCTTCTTTGATTCTGTAAGCAAATTTTAATCATTTACTCATTCGATTCTAAATGTAAAATATATTTTGCAATGTAAATTATATTATAAAATGGGTCTTATATTTAGGATTGGAAGAATAACATTTACTAATAAAAAAGCTAAGTTATTTGATCTTTATAATTATTTTTTAGATTGAATTATTTTTTTAATCCAAATATATAACCCTGTTATTCATGTTTTACTCTGTGCTTTGAGACTACACAATTGGTAACAAAAACTATATCTATTCCACCTCAAGCTAATTTACAAAATAGTAGTACTTTCTTTTAACCATAGTTTTACTTATAGTTTTCATTATATTTCAAAATATTGCATATGAAGGACTTCCTAACTTGTTTTCGTCATAGTTTTACTTTTCATCTTCATCGTTTCATGGCCATGGCAGGGACTTGTCAAAAAGCATTTCTTTCGTAAATACCGACACAATATACGAGTATGTTATTTAATTTGAAAGCGTGTAAATTGTAAAAGATAGTCTATATATGATTCTACGCATTATAGTTCAACATGCTACTATTTCGATTCTTAATATAGAAACTAACTAGGAAATTAATGTTAATTCTATAGGTAAAGCCTATTTCATATGTTTATCAAATTTTTTTTAAAAAAATTAACCGTATTGATATTTTCTTGACAATGATCAGGTAGAAGGATGAGGGAGTGAATTCAAAAAGATGCTTATGGTATTTTCAAACAAAATGTCATATTAATTAATTTAACTAATATCTTTAATCTATTCAAATTAGTTAATTGAGTATATTATTGAGTTATTGCGTATATATTTGGGGGGATAATCCGATAAAAAGATTAAAAACGTCAAATTTATTATATAAATATATATAGATATATTGTATTATTAAAAGAATTTGAAGCCTTGAATATACTTAAACATTTTATCTTTACCCACATCCTATTCTACCTTTGTCACTTGAGAGCAGCATTTAAGTTTTATTATTTCTACACGAGCATCGAAATGGTTATTAAAATTGTTAAATAGATAATATAATAAATTGTAATGATATTTTGTTAAGAAATTCAATTTTTTATTCTATATATATATATATATTCAACTCTGATTTTATGAACTTATTATATAAAGGGTAAAATAGTTTTAAAAAAATTCAAGTTTTATTGAAATTCTAAAAAATATTGTGGATTTAGTATTAATGTATGACTAAATCAAATTGTCAATTTTAACAAATATGTTAAAAAAGTGAAAATGCAATCTGTAATAACAGTAAAAACATGAGATAAATCTGAAAAATCTCATTTTCATATTTTTATTTAAAAAAAGAAAAAGAAAATGTCCACTAGATGCCAGCTCACGGTACACTTCCTGGCTCTCCAGTCTCCGCACTATTTTATAAGTAATTTTTTTGTTGACCTGGAATATCGTAATAAGTATTGGAACTTACAGTTTGACTGCAATTTCAAAAAACAACAAAATGTCAATATCATTAATAGCAATATTAGATCTATAATAAATCAATTTTTGAAATTTTGCCCACCCTAATGGAGCCAGGGATATACCTAATTACATATATTACGTATTCTCTCTCTAATCCTAACTATATAATCTAAATTCCCTCTAATATAGAAGCTAGTTTGTTGATACATGTAAAATCTTAATCCATTTTATTTTTATATTTATTACTATTTTTCTTAAACTAATTTATTTAACTCTCTTAATTTATTTAAATTAATTATATAGTTTTTATATTAAAGATTATATTGATTGAGTAATTAATTTTTTGAGATTAAAAAAATTAATAAAATTAATTATTTATAATAAATATATGTCGGTTTCTTTAAAATAACTCATTTGGATTAAAAACCACCTCATTGTATAGCTGTATGTATTAATAAGATTGTTAGGGAAAATAAATCCAGATGACGTCAAGTATGTGTACGTACAAGTAACATTAACAAGCTGTCAGTTAAGGTTCCAAAGAGTAAAACATAAGTTTGAATATCAAGAAATGTATTTGTTGAGAGAGACAAAAAAATTTTATCAAAAGGAAACCCTGATCATATATATATATATATATATATATATATATATATATATATAAAATACATAGACGCCGCAAATAGCAGTGGCATGAAGCGAAGGAAATGACTCTGCGTAATTAACCTCTGACGAGGGAACAGGTAATGGTACAGTATAATTAAGCCATTTCTCCTAACCCCATACCAAATCTACGTACAATTACTGCTACTTTTGCCTAACATTATTCAATATTCCTTTTGTTACCTTCTTATTTAAGCTCAAGCGTGCATGGCAGAAATGGCAGACCTCTGCATTTGATTTGTGTAGGAGGCAGTTATAGGAAGTTATCTAGTTTGTATAACAACGTTACGTTGTGATGGAGAGCAAGTTCATTTGTGTGATTTTTCTGGGGCTGATCTGCTCAGCCCTAGGAAATGGAGATGGGAGAAAGCTTAGGGGGGAAGATTTGGACGAGTCGTCATTAGAGGCAATCCAGGGACAGTGGCACGCTGGTGGCACTTATGGAGTTGGTGGCGGTGTCGGTGTCGGTGGTGGTCTCGGAGGCGGTGGTGGTCTTGGAGGCGGATATTATGGTGGCATCGGTGGTGGAGTTGGAGGAATGCCAGGAGGAGGATATGGAGGTGGTGGAGTTGGAGGAATGCCAGGAGGAGGATATGGAGGTGGTGGTGTCGGTTACAATGTTGGTCCCGGAGGCGGATATTATGGCGACGGTGGTTATGGAGGGAGAGGATATGGAGGTGGCGGAGCTGGATATGTTGGCTATAGGGGACGGCCAAGGTACGGATATCGAGGTGGCCTGGGTAGAACTGTGACTACCATGAAAACTAAAAGCAATGCAAAAAAGCCATGAAATTTTACGTCATTGGAGGGTTACGTTGGAAGCTTATGGCGTACGTTAGTTAACTAAGTTATAAAGGTTACGTTAATATATATATATATATATATATATATAATTTTCTATTATTATGTGATATGTTTACCACAAAATAAATCCATGCATGCGTGGATTTGGACTTGTTATGGTTAGTGTTATGGCAGGGTTTGTACGTAGATTGTATTGAGTGTAAGGTTCATGTAGGATCCCGTGATTTCATCATAAATAAAATATAACTTTACGTGTTTAATCTTGTGCGCTTCATTTCTTTTTAGCAGGGACAACTACAAATACACTGACACGTATTTTTGCAAGATTATACCTTCAACCTCTACTTTTTCATAAAAGGCATTTTCACCTTATACAATTTGTTAATATAAATCACTTGTAACATATTTTAGTATATTAAGAAATGTATTAAGTTGATAAAATTTTTTAATTTTGCATTTATTAAAGTTTTTACTTTCTTCATTTACAAATCATTTTCATGTTTTTCCTTTTCGATCTTCTCTCTTTTTAATGAAAATTAAAAAAAATAAAAGATTAAACATTAAATATATTAAGGGTGACTTATATTTAGAAGCAAAACTTTCCTTACAAATAATTTACTTTTAGGACCGGAGTGGTATATGATACTCTATTATTAATTGCACATGGACGATCTTCTCTTTTTCTTCTCCACTCAGGATCAAAATCTTAATGATAGATATGGAATACTACTTCTCGTACTTAATATAAAAGCTAATAGACTAATTTAAATAAATTAAAAAAATAATTAAGCTAGTTATTTATAATACATATATGTTATCTTTTCTAAAATATCCATGTTATCAAGTATATTGGTTAGAACTGTTATTATTACAAAAATTATTTGAAAAAAATAGATAAATATGACAAATAAAGTAAATTGAGATTAGGGGCGAGCAAAACCGAACTGTAATAGAAAACCGAACCAAACTGAATTTAGTTTCGGTTTTTCGGTTCGGTTATTTCGGTTTTCAGTTACATATTTGGTTTTTATTTTTTGAATAATTTATTTTCGGTGTTCGGTACGGTTAGTAGAAAAAATTCAATTATAACCCAAAAAACCGAAATAAATATATTATATATTCATATTTAATAAATATTATTATAATAAATATATATGTGGGTTTATGTGAACTCTTTAAATATATTTATGTTCAATAAATATGATTATAATAAATCACATTGAATGATGAAATATTTATTAACTAATGGTTACAATTGTGTTTTATTATTATTTTTAATTTAAAATCACTTTTTATATTTATATATTTTGGTTAATTGGTTAACCGAACTGAAATATTTTGATAAATTCAGTTTCAGTTAGTTCAGTTAATCAGTTTCGGTTCAATGCTTAAAATTTGCTCTATTTGGTTATTTGGTTATCACCAATAACTGAATCGAAAAATCGAATGCTCACTCCTAATTGAGATTTTATATTTAGAACCAAAATAAAAGTCAAACAAGCTTTTATATTAAAGACCGAAGGTAGTATATTGTAAAACTTTTAGGGAGAATTATAATCAGATCTCAAAACTAGGATTTAATTACTCTAAAATTCAATGACAAGTGAATAGTAAGTAATAGTGAGTTCCAGAGTAGGTAATAACAAGAAGTTTTGGTCGATCACTTATTATTGAGATTTTTTAGTAATTAAATTTTTTTCATGTATATAACCATAAACTATTATTGAAATATTTTATTAGTTTTTTTTTAATTTTTATGATAATCCTAAACAATTGAGGTCAAATTTTAATAATTTAAATTTATTTATTTTTATTCAATAATACTCCCTTCAGTGCCTAAGATGGGAGTTAGGTTGCCTAAGATTTAATATTAAAATATAAGACATTAATTTCCTTTATTTTTTATGTTCATCATTTTTGTCCAAACTCATTTATATAACTTATAAAATGATGTACGATCTAATCTTATACTGTAGGAGATCATGTCACAATTATTATAATTAATTGACTTTAATAATCTATTTAAATTAATTAAATAATTTTTATATTAAGAATTAGATGAAGTATAATAACAGTTTTATGTTAGATCTTAGAGTTCATTTGGAATTACTTATGAGCAATATTTTAATTATGATTTACGTAAAATATCTTTATAAATAATTTCAAATGAGGCTTTAGTTGTTGAAATTTTTAATGTGAGAATGGAGAGATGGAAAAGGAATATTATTCAACTAAAGGGACTCCGCTCCCATAGTACGGCACTCGCTCAGCTTTCTTTTTTTTTTTAAAAAAAAAAAAGGGTATTATTCAAAGCAATAGGCCCAAAACTGTCGAAGTAAAATGGAACATGGGATATATATGGAAAAAACATTGTTAGGATGATCCTCACTATGACGTCTGACAGTATTCTGAGATATTAATCTCTTACCATTCGGATAGAAGGATATTCTGGAAAACCAAGAAAAAAAAGGGATAATCGCAAAAAAAAACAAAAAACAAATAAAATCCCATTAGAGCATTAGCATAGATAACAATTTTTTTGAATAGGACCCTTCATGCAATTTTTTAATTTTTAAGGTTTTTGTTGCAATTTTTCCCATCAAATACTCATTCCATTCTTTTTTCTAGTATAAAATTATTTAATTAAATGTACTTCAAGAAATAATTATTACTCCTATAATTTTTGTAAGTTATCTTTTGTGTGGGCGCGCTCATAAACACCACAATCTCAATTTTGTCTTAGAAACAAGGCGAGTAATATTTACTTTCTATGAAATTTACATATAGATTAATAAGAGAGAAAACTCTTTAAAAAGATAATTAAATAACCCAAATTCTTATTTAGGTAGCTAAATTTATCAAACCTCTGATCAGGTCACATGGCTTGAAGAAAAATTTTAAAATTTTATGAAATAACTCTAATTTCCCTTACATTGAAAGCTAAAAGAATTCTAAATTTACATATTTCATTTTACAATTAATATGTTTTAATTTTAAATTAACAAATTTTTATTTTTATAATACATTTACAGGAAGTCTTTAATAATACACTTGCAATAAATTTTTGAATAAAAATTAATCATAAATAATTTTAAAAGTTAACATGTTCTACTTTTACAGTTAATACGTTTCAATTTTAAATTAACAACTTTTTGGCCCCATAACACACTTATTGTAAAACTTGATTACAATACAATTTTGAAAATTAATATGTTCAATTACTTAGTTAACAAATTTTAGTTCTCAATTAATAGCTTTATATTGGCATAGCACCCTTGCAATGAGTTTTTAAATAAAACGTGATTAGAGTATAACATTGAAAATTAACATGTTTCATTTCACGGTTAACACATTTTAATTTTTAAGTTAATAACATTCTATCTTCATAATACACTTGCACTAAGGGAGGAAAATTTAATATAAAAACTAATTCGTCGCTGTTTACTTAATTGATTTTTTGACTTTGTAATAGTAGGCATCGAGTTTCTTTTATTCAAAGTTCTTATGTAATATGGGAATAATAAAAATTCTCATCTATCTAGGTTTCTAATAAAAAGGGCATTAAAGTCATTTTATAAAATTTTAAAATTCCTCAAAAAATTTGAATTATTAAAGTACCTCTTTAAGGGATTTTCCCTTAATAAAATTATAAAATAGTTTAGATTATAATAAAATTTAGAGAAAACCATAAATAAAGACCATAGAATCTGAAAAATTATGAATAAGGACCCGTTTACAAAATTTTTTTATCAAAACCCGTACTATAATTATCAAAACTCATAATAATATTGTAACAGATTGCTATTTGCAATTTTTCATATTCCATGACCTTTATTTGTGATTTTCCCTAAAATTTAATTATATTTAACTAAAATACTTTTTTTTACCTAAAATGATATCCTTTCACATTGAACATCCTTAACCTTTCATACCTTGCAATTCCATCATTGAACCTCACATAAATTTGTAAATAAAAAGATTGGGGAAAAAAAAAACAAGAGTTTTAAGGTGCGTTTGGTATAAGAGATTTAGAGAGAAGGAGAGAGAAGGAGAAGGATTTTGCTTCCCTTTCTTTGTTTAGCAATCCAAACTTTATAGGAGGGGAGGAAAAATTTCATAAAGTTTCCCCTTCCCGGTCAAAAGTTGAGAAGATTTAGAGGAAAATGTATATTTTTATTTTATTTTGACTAAATTGTTTATGACTATTTTTAATATTTTCATTCTACCCTTTCACCTTTCTTCCTCATCTCATCTCACCCAATTTGTATATAGTTATACATTTATTTATGTTCATTTAACTATTAAATTTTTAAAAAATATTTTTCAATTAAAAATTACCAATGAAAATTTTAAATTAAAACATTAAAAGTTTAAAATTGTATTCTAGTGTCAAAATACTCCGACCAATATCAAGTAATTGTTAACTAAAAACCTGACAGTTAACTAATTATACTAAAAAAATTGTTAACTAACACAGACATAAAAAACTAATTCTTCTGAAGAGTTGTGTGCGCCCGTGTGTGTATATTAAGATTAGTTATTATTGTGTGTATATATCATAGTCATAATATTTATAATTATTATGGTATATAGGCTGTAAGTATGATTACAAATGATACTTCTATATATTAAATGTAATTTATTATTATATTTTATTAAACATTATGAAAGTTGGAACATAAAAACAACATAAATAGAACAAGGATAAAATTGGCCTTATAAAAACATTTTCCCTTCCTTCCTTTCCTAAACCAAAAAATAATATTAAAATCCATTCCTTTTTCTTCTTTTGATCAATCCAAACAAGGTAATATTAAAGTCTCTCTCATCTCTTCACCTTCTATTCCCTCCATTAAAATCTCTTCCCTCTCCTTCCTTCCATTCAGCCAAACAGACCATTAAGGAGATGAGACACTCATAACATTCCCAAAATAAAGTAGCAAAGCCGAAGTAGCAATTTGAAAACATAAATAAATAAATAAAATTGGCATCTCAAGCTGCTCAAACACAGATATAGCCGAAAATTTTAATTATATCTGCTTCTAAAAAGAAGACAGTTATAATATAACTGTTAGACCAGTCACCAGTATATGCTATCACAATTCACCAAGGATCTAACCCCACACCATTATCAGACCAAGACCTTTCTCAAAACATAACATTAAAGAGGGGTGATTAGAATGTTGGTAATAGACAAGACTTTCACCGGAACATGTCATGGCAGTAATCCTCAACAGGTTCACAATCATGAAATGGCAGGCAAAATTCATATAGCTGTAGCATGCAAAAAGACCTCATTGCCCAGTTTCACTGGATCTACGATATGGCACGTATTTATGATCCTTTGCAGCATTCCTCTTCCTCCTTTTCTCAATGAATGATTGAAGTTTGCCAGAAGACTGATAATGAAGTGCCAATATCAAGTCAGTGAGATCATTATATGACATGATAAAATGAGGGCTGGTTGTCCGAGACTGTGGAACAACACAAACACAATAACTTTCAGAAGGCCCAGGCAAGTGCATACCTTGAGATCCTCATATTTTTCAATAAGCCTTTGCTTTCGGATTTCAGCTGCAAGTAACAAGAACAAGTCAGAGAATATGCCTATTATTTATTAATTTACTTCTTTTATAAGCTTCTGTGTGCATTTGTAAGGTGCCACTTGAACGACATCTATAAATATCAATTTCCAATTAATCTAACTAGATGTGAAAAAGATATAACTTGCCCTAGAATCAGACAACATATATAATGTATTCGTACCCTAAAGCGGTAAACAACCACTGCATATTTAAATAATGTTCTTCAAAAGATAAGCACCGCTGCTTTTGACACCTTACAAACTCAACAAGGCAAATGCCCAATCACCAACAACAACGTATCTAATCATCATTACCGCCAAAGCAGTATATGATACTAGGATAGTTATGCACTACAGAATGCAATAAAAGTGAATAGAATTACTCAATATCATCAATTAATTAATGGCAATATATTAATAATCAATCTAACAAAGCTGCATCAACTCTATAAATCAGATGCATGGTTGGTCTTTTGGACAACAAGGAAGTAGACATTACATTTCTTGAGATAAAAGGGACGTTTGCCCTGCTTTGCTGCTTCTCTCTCTTTCTTCTTGTGTTTCGCCAATATCTCTGCATCAGGTTTCTTGGTGGCATCGGACTTCAACTGCTTATCCTGAGAAAATATATAAATTTGATCAAGTGCATGAGTGTCACCTTTCTGTAGAGAGACGAGCTTCTAAAATGGAGATCACAAAATTGGAATAAATAGTTGGAATTTGACAAAATCTACAGCCAATAGACAACTACTTACAATCCAAGATATGCGTTCCTCCAATTCATTGACCTTATTTGGATCTTTAGATTTCTTCAAAGCCTTGAGTAAAGCCTTTTATCCTCAGAAAGAGAGTATGAAATATATTATCAAACTCATATAATAAACTAAAGCCAGCCATACAACATCATTTAAGGATAAACACCTGTTTTTCGGCAGGCAGTTCGCCATCAAATAAAAAATTATATCGCTTCCTAAACCTGTAAGTCCAAAAATGTATATTGTGTATTTAATGTAAATAGTTCTAACATCTAAGAAAACGCACACATACACACACGCATATACAAACACCATGCCAAAAGTTAATTCCAGCATGTTTGAAATTCCTTGCTCAGAATGAAAAATAAAAATGCAAAACCACCAAGATTTGCATCACTAGTGACAAAGGACTACAGCGCCTTACACATCCAACTGAGGTGTAACATTAACAATGATTTCATTAAAAGCCAGAAAGGCAGACAAAAATATAGGCGGTGATAGCAAAAACTCTAAGATAGAAGAACTTAAAGAATCAATAACAGGGGGAAAAAACTCCTAAGTAATGCTTGTTAATCGCATATAAACCTTATAAACTCCCATAGACTATAGAGACAATTATCCGACTAACATAGATAAGACTTGGAACATTGTCCCCCCCCAAAAAAAAAAAAACTATGGAAAAGGTTTTCCCTGAAAACAGTCCACCGTTTCCTTCCAACTAGAAAAACCAAACAATATCAGGTACAAATCATATTCATTTGAGAGGTAACAAGAAACCTCTATAAATAATATACAACCAGATAAAACAGCATGAATATTGAAATCAGCTTCATAACAATAGTGAAAAAACCAGACAAAACAAGAAGAACATTAAACTCAGTGCCATGTATATATCATTACGGTAATCCAAGGTAAAAGACACTCAGAATATCCATACTAACACAAAAACCATCATCAGTAACGAATGTAAGACAAACTCAAATAGGAAATTTTTTTTTTTAGATAAATGCTACCCACATGGCATTATAGAAGTAAACAGTCTATCAACACAAGTGTACAAGACAGCAGAATAAAAATGGAAAAACCTGATAGCAAACACTCACAGACGAACTTACCCATCAGAGTCGAGTCTACCACATAGAGATTCAAATCTAGGATCTCGTGCAACCTGAACACAGTTGAAGGTATTCATAATACAATAAGAAACTCGATAGATAGCATAGAAAGATAATCATACAAAACCAGTTGAAAGCATCATATTGCACAACCCTAAATTTGAAGATTACAGTGTGTTTACTTAGACTTCCATATAATACAACTCAAGTAGCTTATATCTTAAATTTATACAAATGCTGGGAAACCAAGTTTGACAGAGTAAAGTGTATGCTTGCTTGTTAAGCAAACGATAAGCAACAGGCTGCAATGAGTCATCCTCCTTAACAAGAGCCCGCAACTAATGATGCAAACTTCTAGCAATTGCAAGAGCTAAAAAAGAAGAAAAATAAGAAATAGAAACACCGGTTTAATACTTAAGGAAACAGAAAAGTCAATTCTTTGTTAGAAGTATAAAACATAGAATAATATCAATAGAAGAAAAGAACTTGGAATACTACAGAGTCAGTTCTTTGCGCCACTTGGATTGATAAATGAACTTACTTTCTTAGGAGCTTGCACAACGTCTCTGATAACAGGAACTGGCTTCTTGCAACTGACTTCCATTGGCCTAGTGAAGGAAAAAACTTAGTTATTTGAAGTGCTTCCGAAACAGAAATAAATCTCACATCGCTACTCTGTTACAATACCTATTCTTGTTGGGTCTCCTTGACTTTTTCTCCACATTAGTCTTTTGAAAAATTGCATGTGAACCATTTGATCGTGCTTTCTGCAACTCCTCAAATGTTGCATCAGCCAGCTCCTGCTTTATCTCCTCCTCCTATATCATGAAAACAGCAGCTTCTCAATATAACAGTTGTTTTGATAATAGTGTTCATAATTTAATATTGCTCGGAGTTACCCACGTCTTCTGAGGAACTGGAAGAAGATTGCTCTGTATCACTCTCCTCAAATTGGATTTTGCTGGATTCAGGAATTGGGGCTCTGTGCTTCTTCATTTTAACTGCAGATTCAAATAATTTTCCAAAACTTGATATCAACATTATGAAAGAAAAGATTGGGTTCCAGAGGCGAAACTGATGTGGAAATGATTCATCAACAAATATCTATCTGGAATAATTGATGAGCAATCGAGTCATTGTCATGAAAGCCAGACCAATCGACCCATGAGTCATAATTATAGTCAAATACTATTATTAAATAAATGCACACACAGTCTAAATCTGTGTGAAGAACTGTGAAGGAATACACATTACGTAGAATATAACGACTCTAAAGGGATGACACACAAAGGATGAAGCCAAAGCAAAAGGTCCGTCGATGAATGTTGCAAGGCCAACACACAAGACAGAGAAGGCCAATTATATTACATTATATTATATTATATTTATATTGAAAGACAACCCAGAAGTTGCCTATACTTAACCAAATTCAGGAAAACAAAAAAGAGCATCCACTAGAATTCAAACATAGGATAAATTACCGAAGGAGGCATACATTGGCAATAACAGGGCATATTCCAAAACAACAGAGGGGAAAGTCGGCCAAACATGCATAGAGATGTTTCACCATCGGTTTAATCTCACGATATCGACTATACCAGTTAGAGATAAAAGAAAGGAACAGATTTCACCTCCAGATTTAGAGCGTATATCCTTGCGATTTCTACAGCTCCTTTAATTTTTGCTTTCTTCGCTCTTGTACTTCTACCTCGGCAACTCTTTCTCTGTCTCTCTATTATCTATTTATTTCTCTATCTCGCCCTCCTTCTTCTTATCTACGCGCTTCTCTTCCCTTGGTGCAACGCAATAGCGGGGGACAAAGTCACTGGGACGACGGAGGACGACGGAGCTCAGTTGTGTTCTTTGCGATACAGCAATGCTCGGAGAAAAGATGGGTTATGCAAACTGAGCTTTGGGCCGACTTTAGGCGTATTAGGGCTCCATCAGTGAAATTTCAAAAAAAAGTCCTTTGGGCCAGCCCCTTTTAGCTTGTAATCCTTTTACTCAATAAATTGCCTTTTAATAATTAAAAAAAAAGAAATATGTTTGATTAAAAAAATGGATGAATGGTTTAGGTGTAATATGATATATATTTTATTAAATATTATATAAATTAATTTCTATACTAGATATGTGAACTATCTAGATTAAATTTTAATAGTTTAAATTTAATTTTTTCAACCAAATTAACAGTCTAAAGTTATTTATTTATATTTTAATAATATTATATGTACCCCGATGCATGGGGTGAGTCAGAGAGAAATGAGTTAAAAAAGATAGGTGTGAGTCTATTTAAAAAAAACAGAGAGAGAATCAAATATAATTATTATGCAATAATTAACACAGAGATGTGTGATCAATAAATGTTAAAAATGAATTAAATGAATTAATTTTTTTTATATATACAAACATGTAACTCATAAAAACCATGAACCTTGTCTCAGAAAATACAACTTACTATATACAAGACACGACTAAGTATAGAGGGACAAGACTGATCTATACACGTCACGTCACCATACTAGATGAGGCTATATTAGTCACCACAATAATGGATACCACGTGTGCCTGAGTCAATCCTCTTAATTTATTTTGACTTATCTTTATATTCTGCGATTTAGAAAATTGTATAGATTACCCACTATCCTAACCTATTTTCATCATAGATTTACTTTTGATCTTCATAATATCATGGGAGGCATTTGTCAAAAAGCATCTCATAATGATCACCCTAATTTTTCCCAACATTATAATATCTATTTAATTTTTTTAATAGAATCCTCCATTATTTAATAATACCATGTTTTATTCAAATACTATTAAACCCAATTAGTGATAACACCTGTAATTTAATAATACCATGGTTAAGCTAGATCCTTAACCAATGCAATCCTTGTGTTTAGTTACCAATATTGAGTTTGGAATCTTAAACAAAATATAGGTGATAAGCCAAAGGAAAGTGAAGATGATATCAAGTCATCATGTTCCTTATGTTCTAAGCCTAATTGGAAGTAGTTCTTCTGAACATATTTTCTGCATTCACATAAATTCAAATTCAAGCTCTCATGCATAAGCAGTCAAAACTTATTCTAATAAAATAATGTTTATTGGTAATAATCCATCACTCTATCTTTGGTATAAGGAAAATAGGGGGGGAAAGGCAGGAGAAGAAAAATTTTAATTAATTTTATCCTGTGTTTAATTAATTTTTATTAATATTTTATCTTACAACTTCTCTTTACTAAAATTTCAAAACTCTACTTTTTTAATTTTTTAAATTGAACTCATTAAAATTTTCTCATGCACCATTAGTTGAACTTTTTGGGAAATTCTATCTAATATTGTTGGAATTCATATTTTCTTTACGTTGCAATTTTTTTTCCTAACATTTAGAGTTTGGGTGTTCCTTATTTAATCAGGTTATAAAGAGCACATGTATTTCTTCTGCTTCCATTTCTTATATGTAACTTTTTTCATTGTTAATACTTAATATCATTTTGTTTAGCTATAAAAAATAATTTCCAATGAAAATTTTCCTCTCTTGAGCCTTGATTGTCCAGCTCTGATCCCACCAAATTCAATGATTTTTTTTTTTCATTCAATTTCCGCACGTGACTTCTCTCTTTATATATGCGCGCATGGAGGCTTAGCTTCATAATTGAGTTTGGTGGCATAGTGCCTTTAATTATTACTTTCCACAATATTAATTGCCATTTGGCTGGCAAAAAAGAATTGCCATATGAGGTAGGTTTATTTGCTTCTTTAAACACAATATAAAGTCAAGTCCCCATTAGCATGCTTTTATTCGCAATATCGTCAATGCATATTATTGCTACTATTGGAGTATTATATTATAGGAATTATAGACTTTTTTTTTGGGTCAAAATAGGAGTCATAGACTTGCAGTAAGTTGGATTGATTTGATTTTGATAAGTTAGGATGTGTTTGGGTAAAACCACGTCATGGTTTGAAAAATAATTTTTAGGAAAAAATGATTTTTGAAAATAAATTTTGAAAGAATAGATTTTTTAAAAAAGTAATTTTGATAAAGTGAAAGTGTTTGGATAGTTGGTATCAGAAGTATTTTTCATATGTGTAAATTACTAAAAAAGACATATGTTAACATGATAATTATATAAGAGATAGATTTTATAATATATTTTTATTTGAAGTAATAAATTTGTTAATAGTATATATATTTTTTGCCAACATAATAAATAATATATAAATAACATAATTAATAAATAATTAATGTGTATATGTATTTATAAAATATAAGATTAAACATGTTTTCAAAAAAATGATTTTTTTTGCCAATTGAATAATATTATTTGTCTCTTAAAGATTTTAAACATGAAATCTCATCACATTTTTTTATAGCTAGTTTTTTTTAACAACATACTACTTCTGATTTTTAATATAAGAGTATTTTGATATTCAATTTGGTTCTAAATATAAAACCCCAATCCATTTTGTTTCTTATATTTATCTATTTTTTTCTAAAATAGTCCTTGTAGTAGTTACACATGTTAAATATTTTATCAAATGGTACTTCTAGTCAGTACATATAATTAGAAATAGTATTTTAGAAAAAATTAATACTTATTTATTACAAATAACTAACTTAATTAATTTTCTTAATATGCTCAAATTAGTTAATTAGCTTTTATATTAAGGATTAGAGGTAATATTACAATGTAAAAAAAGGATCACGTTTTCCAAAAGCAACTTTTTTTTTTCTTTTCATGAAACCATGGTTTGGGTGGATCAAACCATGATTTTGGAGCCAAACCATGGTTTCATAAAAATGTGGGGTGTTTAATCTTAAAACCATAGTTTGAGCTCCAAAATTGATTTCATAAATTACCAAAAATTGTTTTTTCCTTATAATTAAGTGATCAATTTACTTTGATTTGATCTCACTCCGGCGTTAAAATTAAATTAGACCATATCAATGATGATACGCTTTTTTTTTTTATATGATTGTAGATTAGGTCAGATTCGAGCATTGTTAGATTTTATTAAAAACGACTTTTTTAAAAGTATTTACGTATTCATACAAATTTGAAATTAAACCAAATGTTTAAGCGGGCGAAACCCCTTCTACTAGGAATGTCTAAGAAATTTGAAAATGTTTTGAGCTTGAATAAAATATAAACCAAAGAGGCTCATATCTCATCTATGATGATCGTTAAAATTCAAAGACACGCGCTGATTATTTAAAAAAAAAAAGTGTGTATGGCATATTTAATTACAATGTAAAAATATACCATTTTTTTTATCTTTAATATAAGACTCATAATTGATTAGTTTGAAAAAATTAAAAAATAAATAAATTACTTAATTATAAAGTATATTATATAATTTTTTTAAATATTTATGTATATCATTAAAGTATATATTATTCATCCAGTTTTAAATATAAGAATTATTTTATAGTGTAAATTACACTACAAGATAATTCTTATATTTAGAATAGGAGTAGTAGTTCATAAGTCAAGCAAATTAATTTTAAAGAGAAAAGTAAATAAAAATAATTTAAACTAATTTATTTATGTTTTTTAATTTTATCATATTAATCAACTAGATCTTAAATTAAGAATCAAAATTAATATATATTAGGTTTTTTTCGTAGTCTGAATTTTTGGTCAAGAGAAGTTTCTCATAGGTTAGCTAGTAGCCACACGCCCTCGCCCATCCGAGGCCATGCGTTACTGAGGAAGGCAGATTCTCAGAAAGTATCTGTTGAACATTTTGACCAAAAAGTTCAGCATTATCAAAAAGATAATATTATAATATATCATATTCTTCCTCTTTTTTAAGCTTAAATCATATGAAACTTCCTCAAATTTTATATTTATGTAAATAATCTTTTCATCCTTTGAAACTGTACAATAAACTTCCCGAACTTCTACATTTTATGTAGATAACTCCAAACTACCAATTTTCTACTCATTAAAACTTATTTTTGTATGCACATAACTCTTTCAAACTTTAACTTACAGATAAACTTTTTAAATTTCAAGTTATTTACAAATAAATAGACTTACAAATAAAAACAATAGTATGAGAGTTGTTTGCATTAATGTAAAAGTTACGGGAGAATTATTGTAAAGTTTCAAAGGTTATAAAAGTTATAGATATACTGTAAAATTCAGTATGGATTTTGTATAGTTTAACCTTCTTTTTAATAAGAAACCTTTATAAAAAAAAATGGATATTCTTATTCATAAGATGCTTTGCAAAGTCCAGATAATGATTAATGCGTTTCTTATTTTAAAAAAAAAAACTCTAAAAACAGGGCTTTCAATTTTGCTAAAAAAAAATAGTGCTTTTAATCATAGAGAGAGACGCACATGAAAGACAACTGTTTAACAAATGATATTCGTAAAAACACAGTCAATTAACTTTTTTAATTTGTATAAAGTATGCAATTTTTTGCCAAAAAAAGGTACGGAATGAACATTTTATACAAAAACACTGGTGCTAATTATAAAATCTTATTTATAGATTACAAACAAAATCTTATATTTAAGACAGGAGGTAGTAATTAACTTTTTGATATTTTTGTAATAAGCTTTTGTGTTTTGACTTTTGAGGAAAGGTGGATTTTGAGTAGAAGTTAAGGCGTTGAAATTATCAGGCCAAAAAAAAAAAGAAGGCGTTGAAATTTTTTTGGTACAGAGAGGCGTTGAAATTAAACTTGAGGATCAAATGCCTTCGCCCAGAAATTTTTTCTTTTGGCAATCATTATATATACACATAAAATTTCAATTTAATCTCTTGATTAATTTTATAAAGTATTTTTTTCTAGCCCTAGCACTGTTGATTCCAAATAATAAGCTTTTGTGTCAATCCTTATTAATTTTTTAAAACTATACTTTATATATCAATATTTGA